ACACACACACACACACACACACACACACACACACAGACACACACACACACACACACACACACACACACACACACACACACACACACACATACACACACACACACACACGCACACACACACACACACACACACACACACACACACACACACACACACACATACACACGCACATACACAAAAATATCACAACTGTAACCTCTCACCAAAACACATCCTCTGGTATATAAAGAGGGATTTGGTATGTCTAAACATTAGTATCGCCTCCTCTGTGAAAGTAATCGCCATGGCTCGAACTGATTGCTTCTGCCAATACTGCGGTCAAAAGCAAGTCCAAAACCACCTTTGCTTGCTCTGCCCGAAGTGCAATCTTTACGTTCCTACAACAAGACTACACCACCACAGACAACGCTGTTACCAAGGTAAGATAAATCATATCAAGTGTAAAACATATAACAAATCCGTTAGTTTATAATGCTATTTCAGTCTATTTAAGTATACCACAAAAGTGAATATAATATTTTGTTCGAATTCTTGCAGCCGGTGCAGGAAAGGCGTCTAAAGGTGTTAAGATCGCTCATCAATCCTCCTTACAAGGTAAGCACCCAAAAAAGTATGTAAATATATGCAAGTTAACATCATTAATAGCAATAATGATTCCGATTTTTTATAATGATAAACGATCTATTTTTCACTGCAGGGAATGCACGCACGGCACCGTCTCATCCTGAAGTTGACGAAGCTCTGCTGCAACCAAACCCTCTCGCCTGTCAGAGAGCTCCATCACCTCTGCCGGGTCCGTCACGCCCCCGCTCTAGGCCCCCCTCACCGCGCCCCGGGCCCTCCCGAGTTCACAGCCGCGGAATTAAGCTCGGAGACTGCAGCAGCGAAGACAGTGAAGACAGCAATGACGGTAACGATGATGACGATGCGGTATCGCCTCACATTATTTCCCGTAATGAGCTATTCCGAGGAGCGTGCGTAAGGCTGGGTTTTAGCATCCCAGGTCGTGACCAGCCCGATCCCGTCGAATACCTTCGCAGAAACGAAGATTATTTCGCTGAAATCCTGCAAGCACATCGTTGCACTCTCGGGTGTCCTCCTCCTGCCATCAAGACGTTTACGGGATTCACCCTCATTCTCAGCAGAACCGACCTCGCGACGGGAGAAGTAAGAAACATAGAAAAAAGTGTAACCCTTCGCAGTTGCATCATTACTTCAGAGGCGGAATGCAGAAGAACAGTGCGAGGGTGGAGCGAGGAGGTCGACGCCAGGCTGGAAGAGTGGATCACCGACGAGGGGAGCGGGCTCGATCTTGACGCCATTGCATCGCACGACATCACCATATCGCGAATTCTTGCCCCTCAAGCCATAGGGAAATACATACCCTTCCCAGCAAAGGTCAGAGGGAAGAGGTACATCTTCAACCCTGTTGGGGACACGGATTGCGTGATAAGATCCCTTGCCGCCGGAAAACTATTGTCTGACGGAAAATGCAAGAAGAGGCTTGCGAGAGAGGTTGATACTCGGGCTAAATGCGCACGATACATCAAATATGATGCGCAAAAACTCCCAACCAGCTGGGAAACACTGGGAGAATTGGAGAGGGAAAATAATCTCTCTCTATATGTTTACTGCCTGCAAAAACCGTTCACGTCTCATGACAACAACAACAACAACTACTTTCTGACACAAGTTCGAAGAGGAAAAGAAGACAACAAGAAACGTCTACTCCTTCACTTGCTTCTGCTCGAAAACGAACACGCGTGTCTCATCACCGACTTCAACCGTTTTGTTGACTCATTTTCATACAGAGGCAGAACCCCAAACAAACACTTCTGTCGTACGTGTTTCTCGACCTTCTCAAACCAGATGCTGGCAGATAATCATATGGCAGAGTGTAAATCGCCCGTTCAGATTATATACCCACCTCCCGGAAGCAAGCTCAGCTTTATTAACTATGGGAAAGCATACAGCCCATCGCACATATGCATATACGACTTCGAGGCATATATGGACCAAACAAATGCTAGAAACAGGTGCATATCACACCACAAGGCATTTGCCTACGGCTTCATTATCATCGATAGAAGAGGTGACACCGTGCATAGTTCTACATACAAAGGAACCGATGCAGCAACCCACTTCATCGAGAGCCTGTCTGCCAAATGGTCGGATATTGTAAAAAACATGGTTTACTACCCTCTCCACATGACAGATCAAGACCAGCATATACACAACACTACAGAGACGTGTAAAATGTGCGGGCAGAAGTTTCCCAATCATCAGCAGAAGCACAGACACCACGACCACACGAAACAACGAAACAACTACATCGGGGCATACTGCGCGAGGTGCAACATTCAAATGAGGAACCACCGCACCAAAATGCCGTGCATAGCACACAACCATTCCTACGATCTCGGGTTGATGCTGAAAGAAATGCAAGGTGGCCTGAACATAAACGTGCTTGTTAAACAAGGACTCAGGTTCCACGCCGTGGAAATTAACAACCTGAAATTTCTGGATAGCATGGCATTTATGAGCACCAGCCTGAGCTCTCTCGCCAGGACGCACATTGAGAGCGGGCGCCCGTTGAAGTACTCATCTCACCTCGTGCAACACCTGTCAGCCGAAGCCCAGAGATTACTCCTAACAGGGAAAGGAATATTCCCTTACGAATACCTAGACAATCTGAATAAGCTGGAAGATACCTCCCTCCCCCCGATAGAACATTTTTATAGTTCTCTCACGGGGGACACCGTCACGCAGGAGGAATACGACAATGCCCTCAAGGTATGGGAAGCTGCCGAGTGTCGCACACTCGGGGACTATGCCGACTGCTATCTTCGTGCTGATGTGGGTCTGCTGGCTGATGTGCTCAGCGAGTGGAGGTCAACCCTTGTCAAAAAGTATGATCTCGACATGGTGAATTATGTCAGCCTGCCCGGATACGCCTACGACGCATTTTTGAAGATGACCAAAGCGCAATTAGAGCTCATCTCAGACCCCGAGTTGGCGCGCAAAATCGAGCGCTCGGTGAGAGGAGGACTTACAACGTGTGTTCGACCTCATACAGTGGCAAATAATCCGCTTGTCAACCCCTGTTTTAACCCCGAAAAGGAACAAAGTACATACATTCTTTATCTGGATTTTAACAGTCTATATGCCACAGTGATGTCAGAAAAACTTCCCTATGGAAATATTCGGAAACTACCCGATGGTGAAAAGAGGGAGTTTGTGGCAACGGGTTTGTCCGACCACGACGAAAGCGGCGATATCGGTCACTGGGTCGAGGTTGATCTGCACGTGCCGGAAGATGTCGCAAGAAAAACCGACGAGCTTCCTCTCCTTATCCATCACATGGAGATAAGAAGCCAAGACCTCTCGCCGTACAACAAAGAACTTCTTATGTCGCAAAACAGACGTGTTCCTCCGAAAAATAAAAAGTTGGTAGCATCGCATCTTCCTCAAGAAAATTACCTCGTTCTGTTGAAACATCTGCAGCTGTTAATTCATTTGGGAGTTGTGGTGGACCAAGTGCACGAGGTATACGAATTCTCGCAGGATAGCTATCTCCAACCGTTTATCCACGAAAACATCAAAGCACGTCGCGAAGCTACCGATAAAGCTCAGCAGCTCTGCTTCAAGACCCTTTCCAACAGCGTGTTTGGCAGGTGTTTAATGAACCCCCTGAAGAGAGTGGAAAAGGCCAGCATGGTGTGCAAGACCTCATCATTTCTGAAAAAGATACGGGACCCTCTTTTCAAAAGGCTCATCCCCCTCGCCCCGAACCGTGTTATAACAATTTCAAGAGCAAAGACAGTGACTATGAACTACCCACAATATATCGGGTTCACCATTCTGGAACTGGCTAAATATAAACTTTACCATTTTTTCTATAAAGTGTTAAAACCGATCTACGGAGAGAGGGTAAAGCTCTGCTACTCCGATACAGATAGTTACATCCTCTCTGTCGAGACCGATGATGTTTATAAAGATTTTTCAACTGCTCCTCTGAACGAGTGGATTGACACCTCTAATTTTAGCCAGGACCATCCCTTGTATAATGTAACGGTGAAGGGGAAGCTCGGGCTTTTAAAATCCGAGACAGGGGAAATTCCTATCAAAGAGGCTATATGTTTAAAACCAAAGACATATTCCTTGCTCCTAAATAATAATCAATCTACCACAGGTACGAAAGGAATCTGCCGATCTGAAAAGAGAAAACTCAAACACGAGAGGTTCCGCCGTACTCTTCATCAGAAAGAGGTCCACACCTTCAATCAGGTTAGTATTACTAACGTTAATGGACAAATGGCTACCACAATAACCAAAAAACGTGGATTATCATTATACGACGACAAACGCTGGTATATCAACACCTATAAATCGCTGGCGTACGGTCATCCGGACATTAAGCATCTGGCAAAGGAAAGTGAAAGTGAAAGCGAGGAAGAGGAGGAGGAGGAGGAGAGACCCCGCGATGCGGTCAGTGGGCATACGAGCGAGGAGGAGGGGGAGGAGGAGGAGGAGGAGGCGGCGGAGGCGGAAGCACCTACAGGTGCACGGACATATAACTTGTGGAGGAGACGACAACATCTTCTCTCCGCACATTTTCCGTGTCTTGGCCGTACTAACGACAGAGCACAGCAGCAACAGCTACAACAACAACAACAACAACAGCAACAACAACAACAAAATCGACGACGATCGCGACAGGAAAGTAAATCCAAACTGGCAACTCGCAAACGGAGGAAAACATCGGCGGGAACTCCGTTCATTCTCTGTGAAGCGAGGGAAAACAACACCAGCGATGACGACGACGATATAATATAACATTGGCAACTCGCAAACGGAGGAACATCCATTCAAATTTGCGGTGTTGCCATGTTGTGTATAGTTATGTATATTATTTTGTATATTGTATATTTTGTTGTATATTATAAGATTTTATTACTTTTATTACGTATTTCTGTTTGAGTTTGTACAAATGTTCTGAATAAAAGAAACCCAACTGGTGATCTATACAACAGTTTTATATTAGACCTTCACCATGGAACACGTGTCTCCCTATCCATGTTTTAAGGGTTATATGCTCAACCTGTTTGCACACCCTGCCAGGTTGATAATTGCGGGTGTTACCAATTCCGGCAAGACATATTTAACAACAAAAATTGTTGTGCACTACCAAGATCATTTTGATTATATAATTCTGTGCGGAAGTGAATCTCATCCCCTTGAAAAGGAAACCTCTCTATCTGGAAAACTCATTGTTAGTAAAGATATTATAGACCCGACCGAACACAAGACAAATCCGAGCGATCGCATTTTATATATACTAGACGATTGTTTTGTAGAAGCAGCTAATAACCAAACAGTGAGCAATGCATTTACAAAGGGTCGTCACGAAAACGTTTCGGTTATACTGGTGGTTCAAAACGTGTTCATGAATGGGAAACACAGTCGAAACATTTCGCTAAACACCTCTCATTTTATATTATTAAAACAGAGAGATCTCGGGCAAATTGAATGCCTGGGCAGACAGATTTACGGTAAGAGCGAAGCCAAGCGATTTCTAGACTTGTATAAAAGAGCTGTTCTTTCAAGACCTCGTGGTTATTTACTGATAGACCTCGGGTGTGAAACTCCTGAAAAGCTTCAGTTTCGCAGTAATATCCTCTGCGAATATTTTCCATATCAAATTGTTTATCAATGGTAATCCGCAACAATACGAAGCAAGTCCTAAAGGACTTGTATGAAGACTATAAACAACCCCATGGACTGGGTAGCATACAATCGCTTTTAAATGCCGCGCGCGAGCGCCTGGGAAAGAATAATATTACAGTGTCAGACGTGAAAGAATATTTATCAACCCACCGCGTGTATACGCTTCACAGACAGACGCGCAAAAAAATTTCCTCGACGTCAAACAATGGCCACGCGTCCTCGCAAAATCTTAACGTGCGATCTGGCAGATATGCGCAATTTATCAAGACAAAATGATAAGACTGCGTATTTATTGGTATGCGTGGATGTGTTTAGTCGTTACATGCAAGTAAGAACGCTAAGAAGTAAAAATAAAACGGAAGTAGCACGAGCACTTCAATCAGTGGTGGATACAGACGACGCCAGAGGTTTAACTCACCTGTTCACCGATGCAGGACGGGAATTTGTAAATAATGCGGTGAATGCATTACTCCGCGAACGAAGTATGCGCTGGTATACGACGCACTCTAAAGAAATAAAGGCGAGCATTGCCGAAAGACATATAAGAACCCTTAAAGGACTCATTTATAAGTACCTAACCCTTAAAAATACACTGCGCTACGTCGATGTACTCCAAGACATCGTATCGGCTTACAACGATCGCGCGCACGCGGGTTTGAAAGGTGCATCACCTATGGAGGTGCATCGTCATTATACCACATCACAGTGGCAACAACTCTTTCGACAAATGTATGCCCCGTCGCTGACCGGGTCTATAAAAAAAGGACGTTCATCAGCAGACAATCAGATCCTAAAAGTAGGGGATACCGTGCGCATCTCCGCGCGTTCCCGCACCGACGTATTTCGCAAAGGTTATGAAATACAAAATACAGAGGAGATATTTAAAATCCGACAGATTGATCAACGACAAAACTTAATCGGGTATTATCTTGAAGATCTGAGTGGTGAAGCGATACAAGGTTTGTTTTACCGCGAGGAGCTCATTCCCACCGCGCTGCCAAACTCTTATCCGTATAAGATTTTATCGTCGCGTTGGAACAAAACCAAGAAGCAAAGAGAGTATCTCGTTCACTGGCTCGGTTATCCGGACAAATTTAATTCTTACATTACAGCGGATGACATGCACCCCGTACCATGACCAAGCAGTCCCTTACGTCGCGACACATCGATGTGTTAAAACTTATTTGTTCACTGAAACCAAAACGGCGCTCTGACTTTATTTTGCAGTTAAATAAAGAACAAATTGGTTGCATAGGCGAAGTGTTTTCAAACTTTTTAAAGAAAAACTTAACAACAGAGAGGAATATCATAAAAAAGCTAAAGAGATATCGAGAGGCAATTAAGACAGTATCCCTTAAACGAACATCGCTCAAAAAGAAAAAGAAAATTCTTTCATCGCGCACGGGCGGGAATATTCTCTCTATGCTGATTCCGCTCGCTGTAAACGCGTTCTCGGCTCTCATTTAACACAAAGGAAAATGAAAGAATTTTGTCTGGTACCAAAGTCTGTAGTCGACCGACATCTGACATCTGCTGAACGCATTACTAATAATGATAGTGATGACAGCAAAGTCGTATCAGAAGCATTGCCGAATATGAAGAAACCAACGCCCAGGAAGACGTTAGTAAGAGAAGGTCGCGCGGGAGAAAGTGAAAGCATACCCTGCGGCGGTATGTGCGGTCGCGGCGGCGCGGGCGGCGGGGCGCGGGCGGCGCGGGCGGGGGCGGGGGGCGGGGGCGCTCGCAGGAACCCGCGCAAGGGAAAAGCAGTGAATATCTCGGTCTGTTCATCGAGGAAGAAGGATAAACACCGCACCAGCAAATGTGGTCGCGGCACAACATCAGTGTCTCTTCCATCCGCGGTTTTGCAAAGACTGGCAGTCAAGAGCGCACAAACTAAATTGTCAAATCCTTCGCTAGAACACTTGATGGGTATTTTTTTCAAAGCCTCTCAACAGGATTATGCTAAATCTCTCTTGGAGTTTTATCGGCAACAACCTCAGATCCGTTGGGACGAGCTCGGGCAGATACAAGCACCATTTTCGGGGTTGAATATACTCGATGTTATTAAGTATATGTCATCTTCATCGACCGCGTTTTCTCTCGGAGAAAAGGAATTGCTAAGATTATTACACAACTTTGCCCCCATACCCCTTGAGTATGTGCGTAATCCAACTGCCCGACGATTTCTCGCGGGAGGGACACGTAAAGCAGGCAGGAACATGAAATTAGCACCTGCACAGAAAAAGATGCGTTGGAACCCTTATTAACGATCCAGGATAAAAACGAAGAGCCTTTTCGATACATGTACCAGTCGAGGGATATCGAGTGTACAAGCATGAGCGACGAATTTATTAACGCCGCATCTTCGCGGGACAGCGACAGCACCAACAGTGTGACCAATGCATGCGGAGGCGATGCATCTTCGCGATCGCTCGCGGTTGAACTGCGAAAGGAGGTGGTGAGGTTTTACCGCGCGCAGTACAAACACGACATCATCTCATCGTTGGTGGAGACATATCAAGCCTTTCTAGCCAATCAACCGGAACAAGCTTATCAACAAGAAGCCGACGAAGCAGTTGAAGATCTGACCCATGCATCGCAGGAAGAAACAATTCGCACCATCACCAAATATCGCAAACTTGCTAGTCTATACAATAGACAAAGCATTGGTTTTGAAATGGGACAACGACTGGTGACCAGGTTGCGCAGGTAAAAAACATGTGCGAACAGGCAGAGGGGGGTAGGGGACAGAGACTGCGGTATAAAGAGAGGTCGGAGACACAGTGAGGGTGCACAGAACACCTGGCCATCTCAGTAGCAACAGCAGCGGGAGCAGCAGCAGCAGCAAGGTGTACACGAAATGAATCCGAGGACGAACATGGATGGCGAACGCCCGTCGAAGATGGAAGAGAAAATACGCAACATTCTGGACGCCCACCCCGTGACATCGGCAGACACATACAACGCAGGTGAACATCCTCCCGACTTTCTATATCCTCTCACTTTTCGCGAAGGCAGCGTTCTCCAACCTGTGCTGAATCAGAAAACTGCAGTTTGTGTTATAGCTAATGCATGTGGGAAGACTGCATATGCTACTTCAGGTGTGTTAGAAAGAGAATATGCGCATGCGGATCTCTATAGATGCCGACGGCGAATGTTCTCCACTTCAAGAGCAATTACAGCCGATCGATGTCAAACAGGCACCATTAGAGTGAGACAAAGCGACTGCGGTCCTACCATCGTGTACCTGATTGCTCATTTCGGACCCGGGAAACCGTTAGAATACAATGAGATTGCCGTGAAACAATTAAGATCAAGCACGGACAGGCATTACGTAACTGGATTGTCGAGTGATAAGTTAGATAATCGAGTGAGAAAGCTTGGAGAGTGTCTCAACTATTTGTTTACACAGCTCAGTGATATGAACATTAATGAAATTTTATTCCCCGTTGAAGAAGAAGGAGGTAGCTGGAGTCAATCATATGTTGATTCCATCCAAAATTTTGCGGCTCGCTGTATGCCTCTAAAAATTCCTGTTGTGCTATTAAATCACAAATCACGTGTTCAGCCAGGACCCGGTATCTGTTCTACCAAGGATGAAGAGGATGGCGGCGAAGGTGGGGACGAAGATGATGATGATGACGACGCCTGGATTCGTTCGCAGGAAGAGATGTGCACCTGTAGATGCGGGGACGACGACGACGAAGCGTCAGAAGGCTGAAGAAGATGGTCGATAATATATATATGTTTTTTTTTTTTTCTCCATTGCCTGTAATGTCATGTCTTGTTACATTTTTTTGTCATTAATAAAACCAAGTTGAATGCAATACCGCTTTTTTTAACATCTACACCTACTTATATAAATGAACGATGTGCAAAGGAGCTCACAGTCTGATCTTGACCACCGTCATGGAGGCAGATAACCAATACATATACATTACGAGCAATGCTTCGAAACATGTGTTTCCGCATAATACCTCACACGCATTTGAAAATGTTATATCTCCGTTAATGTTAGATCCTTCTTTGGAATATGAGGTTTCGCTGATTAATTTCTTGCACCCTAAAAACTATTACAGCATCAGGGCAAATGATGTCGATTTTGCTATTCAATTTGTTTATACATGTGATAAAGAACCGCATGCGGTCGAACATAACATTTTTAAATATGTTCCAAAATTTAACATGTTAGGACAGATGAAAGGTGAGCAAGCAATGCTTGCTTTGATAAATGATGATATATTTAACCAGATGAAGGAGATGCTTGGTA